GAAAGCTATTTAAATATTTCAGAGGCACTGTGAACAAAGCACATGGAAATGGGGTAAACAATGGAGAAACCAAGAATGTGTTTGTAACTATTTCAGGAGGGAGGGGGGTTTAGGAGGAGACCAGGAGGGAATAGGATCTGGAGGACAAGGGGCTAGGGCAGCTTTTGTGGGAAGAGGAGCTGCACAGCACAACCCATTCAACAATTGTAGTAATTGTTCACATTGACTGATCTGGGAAGTAGAGGTGGTCACAGCAGGTGACCTCTGAGGTTAGGCATTACCCCTTATTCATGGCTGTATTCTAGTACCTGGTTCATAACAAGTATTACTTTAAGTGCTTATGGTCTGAGCTGCTGGGAGGAGCTGGGAGCGCCCTGGAGGGTGGAGAAGTAGGGTGATGTGTTCAATTTGAACTTTTGCCAGAGGGCAGTGGTTCTTCAACTGTAGTGTGCAGCTGAATGGGTAGGGGATTAATATTCCCATCCTGTAGGTTTGGGTGGGACTCAAGAATTTGTAGTGAGTTACCCTGTGACGCTGCTGGGAAACTTGGCTGTTGTAGGAGGAAAGGAAGCACAGAGAGGGTTCCTGAGGAGACAGGACGTGGTGGGGTGCAGCAGGCACCGTAGCTTGAGAGAGGTCTCCAACCCACATAGTTGTAGGACTTGCCTGCAGCTGAGTCCAATAGGCTCAAAGCAAGTGATTAAATCACACAATTTATTGGAGGGCACAGGGAAGGAAATGGGAGGCTTCTGATGAAAGGCTAGTGGACAGTGATTGATCTTGGGGCTTCAACTGATAGGGAAGGAAATGGTGGGGATTGGAGATTCAGGGTATAATCATTTAGAGTAGTATATTTCTAACCTTTTTCACTGTAGCCTGTAGTAAGAAATACATTTTATTTTGCCCCCCAATCACGAATGTGAGTATAACTGATCTAAAGTTTCATAACACCTTTCTTATTTACATTACACTCTGGTGTTCCTGTTTCTTTGAAAACAGTGATCGTAGCATAGTATGTGAATTTTGTGACCTGGTGGGAAAACATCACTTCCAGAGATGGTTGTGATTAGAGTCAGAAAGTGAGGGCACTGGCAGAATGCTGCCCTGCTTACGGTGCCTGTAGATATCGGAGGTGGGGTCACCAGGTGGTCACCACACAATGGTGTGCTCCTGGGGTGGGTCACTGAAGTGGCATGGAGACAATTTTTGGTGGCAAGACCAGTGAACTTTGAAGCTAAACTGTTAGGACAGACAGCTTGTGTATGTGGACATCGAAGTTCTGTAAGGTGATGTGAAGAAGTTGAAGTCAAAGTGAAAGCAGTCCTTGGAATGGGTTGTATCCCACATATACCATGTGGGCCTCGTGGACCCTCTGCCCAGTGACTTGATAGACTAGTTGCTAGATTGAAACCCTCTCCTCTCTGTTATATTCTACGGTTCCAGGGAGTATGGCTTTGAAGGGGAAGGAAGGTAATGTACAAGTAGTTGGGGGTTTTTAGAAGAATAAGCATGAAAACTAGTTCAGAATTCATCTGAAAACTATTAAAGTGTTTTATGTAAACAGTACCTACTTTGCAGTGATCATGAAGTATGAGATTTAATTGACAACCTTGAAAATAGATCTTCTGTAGTGAAAATATTGGGTGGAAAAACATACTGTGCCATATTGTCATTGTGAAATACATGTTACTGCAGTTTTTACCCGGTAAAAGTTTAGGTGAGACTTTTAAAAAAAAATTGTCTTTATGATTTTTAAAGTTAGGGTGGTTTTTAGTTTTGAGGAAGAGTACTAGAAAGTTAATGGGGGATACTGGGATGTATTATTTTCACATCTTGCATAATGTGTTACCAAATTGGAAGATTTGTCTCTGTGTTGATACATCCAAGTATGTGCTGCTTTTCAATTTACTTCAGCTCACTCCTGTATTGTTATCATATAGCATTTCTCCAAGAGTTGGTCAGGAGTTTGAGATTTTCCCCAGGTTATACAAACCTATGAGCCTCCGAGAGCCTGATTGATGCTAAAACATCTTCAGGAAATAATTGGTATTTCCAGGATGTGAATTTGACAAGGACAACGGCCCAAGTAGATGTAGGAGGTTATTATGAGGAAAAATATAAAAGGTGATCAAGTAAATAATATAATTTGCTGTAGGTCAACAAGGCCTTTTGTAGCTGCAAGCAAACTGCATTGGAAAACTTGGCCAAAGGAGCCAATTTACTGCTCTAGAGGATGAGGACGTCCCTTAAAGCCATAAATTCCTAGAACCAGGACTGAGAAGATTATGAGCAGTGGGATTCATTTACTAAGATTAATTATCAGTTAGTGCTGACTTGAAGATTTCAACACTAGTTGCCTAATAATTCTGCTTTTAATGGAAACAGCAGAAAACAGCTGTCATGTCAGCAAATGTAGCCTTCCTGTCCCTTCTTAATTTAACTAATTAATGATCTTCCCATAAGGGAGAGTCCAGTGGAAGAGAGCCCCAAGGGAGACTTAGCTTTTCTTCAGCGCCACTTCTGCTGATGAATTAGCGCTTTCTCCCAGGCCCGACTAACTGAGAAATCCGCTGCTCCCTGAGGACGCGTTTCTGATCTGGTGTCCCAGTTACTCGGGAAGAGTTTGCTGTCATCCTCCACTTGATTCAGGGTGGATTACATTGTGTGCTTTTGCCAGAATGATTGCTTATGTTTTCAAGGTAAATGGGAAGTTAACCAGGCAAATACTCTGTGCCCTCTGTGATATGAATGAGGAACTCTTCTTTCGATATGAACCAGTAATTGTATTTTTAAGATGTGGTCCACTTGTTAGCTATAACTATTTATCTCATGCTGTCTTGTTCAGTGTATAGGATTTTCTTCTCAATTTGGTTGTGGCTGCCTAAGTTTCCTGTGCTAGCTCCTGAGGCTGTCCTCCCCTCCCCTCACCCCTGCAGGTGAGGTTTTTGAGACTCACCGGGTGCCAGGGCAGAGAGCTGTCTAATCCAGTGTTTCCTACTGGTTTTCCTCCACGTTGGGGGAGTTTATCATATACATCACACTTAACGCCTTTCTTTACTGGCTTTAGTCCAGTTCTGCTTCCAAAAAAAAGTTATAAAAATCTTTTTAATCCCTTTCTTTTCAGCTTTGTAACTCTTGACCACTTATCTTTAAGGGGAAAAAAATCTTCTTTCTTCTCTTCTTTCCATTTGTAAGACCCCCTCCCCCAAACAAACAAACAAACAAAAAATACAGACCCCCAGTGTCTGGAAGTATTCTTAAGAAGCCCTGAAGAAGGTTCTTTTCTTTGTTCCTAATTAAACATTTTGCTTCAAGCAATAGCATTCGATATAAATAAGAATATCCTTATTCTTTAAAATTTTTCAGTTTTGCTCACATAAAAGAGGGTTTTTTATTGCTATTTTCATTACATAAAAGCTGTTCTATATCTTGAGCTAAATGCCTCTTTATGAGCTGGCTTATATAACACGGTCTTTTGAGCACAATTCTTTTGAAATGCATACAGTTCCTGGACAACTACTGTATCCGGTATCACAGGCAGGCCCGTGTTTGGGGACCAATAAGTACTAGACAGTTATTTCTTCATTTCTATTGAACTGTTTCCTGGTCACATTTATAAAGTTGAGATCTTTGGTAGCATCTGAATGTATGAGAGTGCCCTTTGGCGTGTCTGCAGGGTGTGCAAAGACTAATTAATGAAGGTACTTGCAGATAGCTTCAAGCACTAAAAGAAAGAAAACAGGATGGTCTGATAGAGTCGCATCAGGGAGGTGGCACCACCTTAGATGGGGTAGTTTTAGCAATGGCCTCTCTGAAGAAGGGACATTTGAGTGCGGACCAAAATAATGACAAAAGTGAGTCAGACCTTCAGAGATGTGGGGGCTGGTTAGAACAAAGGCGCTAAGGCTAGTAGGAACTTGGCAGGGACAGAAGAATGTGACTGGAGCCTGGGAAGGCCCCATGACGGAGTGGTAGCCATTGAGGTTAGGGAGGTGGGCAAGCAGGCCCTCTCCCCCGTTGTGTGTGGGTCATGGTTCTGAGTTGGGGAACCAACTCTAATCACAATTAGGATTTTAAGCAGAGAAGTAATGTGTAATTTTCCAAAGCTCTTGTAGGCTGCCTTGTGGAGAATGATTTCAGTTGTCAGTAATTCTGGAGACACCGTGAACTTTGTGTTTAGCTGCTTGGGAGGAGTAAATAACAAGCCTGCCAACGTGGGGATTTTCTGGCTGTCTCCCAGGAGCTCCCACTTTTAAACCCGTTGATCAATTGATAAATTTCTAAGTATAAGAGGACTGACTGCCTTTGGTGTGAAAACCTCACGCCCCCTGTGAACTCCTCTCTGTGGTTTTGGGGAGACAGGCAGACAGGAAACGCCAGGAGTCCCACCCTCCCTGGCTCTCCCTGCAGGTCCTGAGATGGAAGTTGATTCTGCAGCATGTCTAAGGGTGGACCTGAGAGGGAAGGATTTGGGATGGAATTAGGGAGGAACCACTCCCTGCTTCCTGGTGATAATATAGTCTGGACTGTTTCTTCCCAGGGAGCCCTGCTCTGATGTCCTCCAGTAGAAATTGTATATGACACATAGCCCTGAGAACATAGGGCTCAGTTATCACAGTGTTTTGGTGAGTCCAGAACATTTCTGAACTGTCCGTGTGCAGGACACTGGTAGGCCTTTGACACTGGATGATAGACACAGGGTTTCTACCTTCACCAAGTATTAAAAATAAAAACTTGCGTTATTTTTTCAGCTTACCCTCTAAACAGCCATATATGAAAAAACCCAAAGAAATTAATCATGCTTTACTCATTGCCATATTAAAATTAATAGCCAGATTTCAAGGATACCAGAGGAGATCAGCTTAGCTTATACCTTATTTAAGAGTTGTTTACCTTTAACAGAATATGCAGTGTGCTTGTTGGTCAGTATATTTGTTAATGTCACAAAGCATTTGATTCATAATAGCTTATTTGCTTAAATTTCTGTCATATTTTCACAGAATTTTAAGATTGCCTAAATGCTAATTAAAGGAACATTTTCTGATCTCAGTACCTTCAGTTTCTTCATCGGTTACAGTGGTGGTTTTTTTGTAAAATACTAGAATTATAATTTTTGCCTTGATAATGCCCATGCATTCTGAGTTGTCTTTTTCTTTTACAGGGAAATCCTCGTTGACGATTCAGTTTGTTGAAGGCCAATTCGTTGACTCCTATGACCCAACCATAGAGAACAGTAAGTATTGTTTTCAAGGATTTATAAACTGAGGAGCCTGCCTTCTGCATACAAACAGCCATTGTGTGTTTGGAGGCTTTGATGGAAGAGTATTCAGTTAGACTTATAGATCACCAACTAGGGTCCAAAAAATGCTTCCAAAAACTTGACCCACTTTACAGCGAGTGATTTTTTTTTAATCCCGCATCCAGATCCTGCCATTTAGAAATTGTTATTCATCTCCATAGGAATCAGAGTCCTGTATCAGAACCCCATATTCTAGGTTCTGCTTTAGGAAGATGGAGAGAGTGCTTCTCCCCCCCCCCCCCTTTTCCTTCCTCTTAACAGTAACCCTCTTTAGGGGTTCTAAGCTGGAGAAGGAAGATGCAAACACTACGAGTTCTTTGTACCTTACTATTGTGGCGGCCCCAGCTGCCCGGCCCGGCCAGTCGTGGATACTTAAGGAAGGAAGTCTGGGAGAAGTGAGCTAGCTGTTCTGGGGTTGGACAGAGCAGTCGCAGCGTTAGAACAGAGCCTGCTGGCCTGTCAGGTTGTGTGCAGCACAAGCACCAAAGACCAGAGCCAGCCACGACCTTTGCCTGGTCCAGTTTCAATCCATGGTTTCAGAATCTCCCTGAAGGATTCTAGGGCCTTGAGCCAAATTTTGATTCTGGAGCTCACGGAGGAGAACCTGGGGCACATCGTCTGGGGAGGTTGCTTGTTGAAGCTAGTCTGGTTTCAGGCCATCTTAGAAACCCAGCTCGCCTGGAACCAGTCTTCTCAGATTGTTGACAGCAGGGCTTACCTGGGACCTGTCACCAGGAACTTACAATTTAATTAAACATGGGGTTCAACAAAACCTGATTGGCATATTAGACAGGCAGCCTACCTAACAGCCAGGCTCACCAGCTTTAACAACTAGATTCATAGACTTCACCCACCCAAAGCTTGCAAAAGAGACTTAAAAAGAGGCTCTCAACGGGAGTTGACAAATTTGGGCCAAGTTGCCCATGAGCTAAGAATGCTTTTTACATTTTTAGTATTTGAAAAGAGTCAAAAGAAGAAGAATGTTTGCGACATGTGAAAGTATACAACTAGAAATTCAAATTTCAGCATCCATAAGTAAAGTTTTATTGGAACACAGCCATTCTCATTCATGTACATACTGTCTGTGGCTGCTGCTTCTCTGCAACAGCAGAGTGGGTGGACAGTTGCAGCAGAGACCATGTGGCCCACTGAGCCTAAAATATTTACTGTCTGGCCCTTTCCAGGAAGTTTGCTGACCTCTGGCTTAAAATATCCAGCTGTTCTTTGTCCCGTTCGCTGGTAGCAGGGAAGGAAACCTGTTGATTGCTAAACTAACTGGGAAGTCACGTGTTTGAAAGTAACCTCTGCCTTATCTGGAAGGAGGGAGTCCTGATGGCATCCTGTTGATTTCCTTAGCTGTCGCGGAATAGTGTGCCCTGTGAGGACATTAATTTGAATGCTGAGTGAACAAGTTTGGTTCTCTCTCCATTGGCATTGGAACACAAGAAAACCATGCTCTTGGCCTTGATATTTGCTCTACATAGCAATTTAGAATGTAGTGTCCTTTAAGAGATAAGGCTCGTTTAAGAATTTTATTCATAGAACAATAGAAGATAGTTTTCATGGTAAGCTCTGCTTATAAAAGTGATTTTTACAATTGTATATCTTTGCCATTTAAGATTGAGTGGGAAGGAAAGTCAAGGTGTTTTCTATAAATGCGTTTTCTTTATATGTAAGTAATGGATCAGACAAAAGTCCAACTTCCTTACCTTGATACTGTCTCAGAAACAGAATGAAAGGACCCTACTTCGAAGGCTGTCAACATCATATTTTTAATGTTTTCCTATCTGATACTTGGTATTTAATAATACTTTTTTTCAGTGTCAGAAGTGAATTTATTTAAAGTCTTTAGGCAAGAGCAGAAATGAGTATCAGAGTATATTAAAAGTTCATGAGCATGCCCGATGTGGCTCGGTGGTTGAGCATCAGCCTATGAACCAGGAGGTCATGGTTTGATTTTTGGTCAGAGTACATGCCTAGCTCACAGAATCCATCCCCACTGTGGGGTGTGCAGGAGGCAGCCATTAGTGATGCTCTCTCATCATTGATGTTTCTATCGCACTCTACCTTTCCTCTCTGAAGTCAATAAAAATGTTTTTTTTAAACGTTCATGAACATATTCAGACATCTGATTCTATTTTCCATGCTTCTGATAGTAACACAGGGCAGAAACCCTTCCTCACCCCTTCCCCCACTATTTAGTAGAAAAACATTGTTCAGGGATAATAGGGGATTGGAGAGGAATGGGATTGTCGTCATAAATTTGTTGCTCACCACATAAATAGATGGTTTTGTGGTTCTAAAAAACACAATGAATCTGGAAATGATCCAGTAATTATTTTACACTTAACTCTAATATAGAACAGGGTGTTTGTAACATTCAGTGTCGACACATTTATATGCAGTATCACTGCAAAAGCAAAAAGTCTGGGACTTTTAAAACATAGGAGAAAACATCAATAAAACCACATATTTTTTGTGTTTGGGGAAATATTTACACCGATGGTCCTGCCTGTGCAAATGTGCTTTCTTATGTGCCTTTGTGCTAATCTAACAACTCAAACTAGATTGACATGAGGACATGGAGTAATAGTTTATAATTTGAAGAGGAATCGCACCAAGTCACAGCTCTGCCATCCCCAGGCAGGACTGCTGAGGAATTAATACAGCTCAGCAAATTGGAAAGTGGGAATCAGGAGTGTATCAAGCCTTGTGTGGTGGGCAGACTGCCCAGTGGCGTGTGGGTGAAGAGTTCGCCATTCACGTTAGTAACGCAGATCTGACTTTGTGAACACCAGATTTAAGAAGTCTTCAGGCTGAGCCTTGTTTATTAGATTTTACTGGTAAGTAGCTATTAGCCTGCTTAGAGAAGTTTCAGGGTTTTAAGCTAGAAATTAGATTAATTTCTCTGGAGATTGAAAAAGGGAGAAAGGGTTCAAGGAAAGTGGTGTCAGGGGAAAGCCAGTTTCCCTCTTCTCCACAAGGCGATAGAAGAGTTTGCTCCCACTCTGTGGACTGGCAGGCGGATCGCAGGATGCTTCCCTTTTTCTGTAGTGACAACAGGAGGCACTTCTCCCAGGACAGATGGAAGATCTTCGGTTTCATCTTACTGCTTTGTGTGGGAGGGTTTACATCCTTTTTATGTGCAAGGATATGCTAAACGTTTGTTAATATTTTATTTCTTTTCTGTCTTATGTTCAGTTCCATCTCCTGCCTTTTTACTCCTACCTCCCTAGCCAGTACTTTCAGTGTCTGTGGCCGAATCTTCCCGTGTTTCTGACCTGGCAGCTCAGGGAGCCCCTGGGTGTGCATGTCGGGCTCAGGCTCTCTCTGCCCTTGCTCTCCAGGGGTCTTCCCCTCAAGAATTTGCCCGTCTCACCGTACCCAGCCCCAGCCTCTCCCCTCAACTCCAGGCCTTTTACTGAGCTGCCCTCAGTCCCCTTGGGTATTTAATGGGCTTCTCAGACTGACCATACCTAACCCTGCCCCTCAGTCCCCTCCTCTGCTGCCCCAGGGCCCCTCCCGAAGGCTTTTCTGTGTCGGTTCATGGCAACTCGTGCCTCCAGTTGCTCAGGCCAGAAACTGGAGTCTTCCTGCCTGCCTGTTCTTCACACCCTACCACAGGCAACCGGAAAATCCTCTTGGTTCTACCTTTGAAGTATAACAGAATTCCACATATCTCACACCTCCATCTCTGCCCCCCTGGTCACTCTATTATGGGCTCCCACCCATGTCCCTTGTCCATTTTTTCTATTCACAGCCTAACCAGAGTGATCCTTTAAAAATATGAATCGGATCCAGTTACTCCCCTACTCAAAAACCCTTGGTTTCCCATCACTTCCAAATAAAAATCTGAAGTTTTGACCAAGTCCTCTATGGCCACCTGCCCCTCTACCTAAGTGCCTGCCCACCATTCTCAGTCTCAGCTGCACTGACTTTTTTTTTTTTGTCCTCACCCGAAGACGTGCTTAGAGAGAGAGAGAGGGAAAAAGAGAGAGCCAGAAGCATTGATGTAAGAGAAACATCGATTGGTTGCCTTAGTTCCAACCAGGGATCGAACCAGCAACCTTTCGGTGCACAGACTCTCTTTTCTCACTGAGCCTCTCCTTGCCATTGTACCTCCTGGTGCTGCTCCCAGAGCAGATACCTGACAGCAGGTCTGTCCCTGTCCTCCTTCCTTCATGGTGTCAGCTCACTGAGGTCAGGGACCCAGTAACTCCCATCACCTAGTGGCAAGAATAATAGGCACTCGAGAAATAGTTCTTGAGTGAGTGAATGGTGTTCTTTGTAGATAATCTTTTCATAATAATTATACTTTATAACCACAATTACTTAGTTCTCACTAAAGGTTGCTATTTTATTGTTCACCAATGTTTCTTCTAGAATTTTCATCAAGTCTGAAATATGTTGATCTTAGGTGAGGTGTGGAAGGCAGGTTTTCACCGAGGTGCCTCATGGCTGCCCCCTGGCCCACAGTGATGGAATGCACAGTCTATGCACTGTACACCCCAAGTTCAGAGAGGTTGCAGTGTGAAAAAAAAAATACAGTAGAACTTTTTCTTAGAATTCTTTCTTTAAGTGATAATTTCCAGAAAGGGCACAAGAATGCTCTCTCAAGTGTGCAGTTACTCGAGTAGTGTGGTCTGTGCCCCGCTGGCACTTGGAGAGTCTGATGGTGGTGTGGTTCTCCCAGATTATTGCTCCTCTCCTCTGTCACTTACAGTTTCTCTCGTAACTGTCAGCATCTGTCTTTCCCTTTTGGCATGGGGTAGAGTCTACTGGTAGCTCTGATCAAGTCCAGCGGGCAGCCAGGAGATGTAGACTCCTCATGAGCCAAGAAGGCTGGGATGGGGCGCAGCATCTTTCCCATTTGGTTGTCAGGGTTCCAGGTGGTTCTTGTAATAGTTATTATTAATAGTCTTTCCTCTTTTGTCTATATTTGCTTGAAGTCTGTCTCCTTGAAATTCTGAATTGACTTTTCCAGAAGTTATTTGAGTCTGATTTCTGCCCCCTTGTTAGGGAAAAGAAGTTGTGACAAATTGTTTGGATCCTAAGCTAAGTGGGAATGATGGCTTCACATAGAACATCTGTTCCAATGCTGTGTTAATCTGTCAGTAAGATTGGGGCTTTTTTACATTCTGGGAGTTCGTAGCCTTTCAATTAATATTAGCTCTATGGGCTCTGACACCAGACTTCCTATAAATTAGTGAAAAGGTTTGTGCTTTTGGTTTATTCTTGACATCAAGCTTTATGTAATATACTAGAGGCCCAGGGCACGAAATTCCCTCTCACAATACAGGACTACTGGCTCCCAGCCACTCACCTGTCCACCTGCCTGATTACCCCTAACCACTCCCCTGCCAGCCTGATTGATTCCTAACTGTGCCCCTGCCAGCCCGATTGCCCCTAACTCCCCTCCCATGCTTGTCTGGTCACCCCTAACTGCCCTTCCCTGCCAGCTCAGTCGCCCCCAACTGCCCTCCTCTGCAGGCCAGGTCCCCCCTCAACTGCCCTCCCCTGTTGGCCTGGTCGCCCCTAACTGCCCTCCCCTGCTGGCCTGATCTCCCACAACTGCCCTCCCCTGCCAGCCATCTTGCAGCTGTGGGTGCCGCCATCTTTGGGGGCATGGCAGTCAAGTAGCATATTTCCTCCTTATTGGCTATGGGTGCCATTTTGCCACAGTGTGAGAGTCAATTAGCATATTCCCTCTTTATTAGGTAGGATTTCACTTTTTCACAAGAGAAAGGACTGTCCACAGAGCATTCAAATTTCTTTTACAGGATATGAATTATTGCCTGATTTCAGTTTCTTTGAAAAAGTCCAAGGTTTGCCCAGTCTTGATTTCAGTCAGCTGGGAATGTTTTTAAGCTACCGTATTTGCCGGCGTATAAGACGACTGGGCGTATAAGACGACCCCCTAACATTTCCACTCAAAATACAGAGTTTGTTATATACTCGCCGTATAAGACTACCCCCTCTTCCGCACACCTTCCACACACCAAATAAAAGGTAAAACAATATCAGATTTGATTTTAACATTTTAA